ATACTTTTTCCTAAGGCTGCGAGGAAGGGGGAGGGGGGCAATGACTGGGAAGTGGTAGCGATCATGTCGTTGTTGCTTTATAATGGACTTGCTTGTTTTCTTTGCTGGACAAAAGTCTCCTCTTCCAATTTTTCCGTACAAAAAAAAAAAAAAAAAAAAAAGGTTTCATGTTCTGCAATTTAAATGTTAACTGTCCACCCTAAAAGCCGTAAGTTTCAGCGCTCAAAACAGCATAACCCATAGGCAATTTTAAAAAGGCATGATATTTCCCATTGAGGATCGCAACGCTGTCGGAGTATTTCGCAGATTCCAGTCTTCACGTGAAGCGAGAAAGTTCTCAGTCGTGAAATGCAATCCCTTCCTGAAAAGGGAAGTGATGACACGTCCTGTGTCGTATGCAAGCAACTGCTTGCCGAGGAAGTAGGAAGGAATCTCTTCAACTTTCTCATTTCTATGGAAAACTGTCTATGGGGAAGCCTTTCTATGGAAAAGATTCGATTACGCCGGTCAGGAAGCGCAAAGAAAGAGATCATTGAATTTCCACTGAATCAGTGTCAACAAAAAAGTGTTTGCACCACCTGAATTAATATCACCTTTGGTACATTCAGTGTATTATCTGAAAGCAACCACCCTCATCGATTACGGCGACTTTTTCGGAAACCTCTGCGCAGAGCAGCATAGTACGATTTCCAATTTTTTCTGAGTCACAGTTCGTTCTAAAGCACTATCGATTCGTTTCTACACGACATCGCACACACGTGCTGGTTGCTGCAGAGACGGGGGATACCCCTGGCGCCGAAAATTCTCATAGGTGTTTTCAGACGTTAGAGATAGAGGTTCCCAAGAATTTGGCTACTTCTTATTTCTTAAATTGCTCTCGTACTTTCTGTTAAGGACTAGATTTCATCCCGTGGTGCAAATATTCCTCTTCTTTCTTCCTTCCTCCTTTTCATCTCTCTTTAGTCTACACTTCTGGAAAAAAAATTGAGATACCACTGTAAAATTACCCTCGCAGTTACCAACCATCTACTGTGTCTTAGAACGGTAGTGAGAGATACGTCAGCAGTTGAGGTTAATGAAAATTAGCACATTCATACGCTCTCATGGTCTTACCAGTCCCAGTGGACAGTGATTCAAATATTTTTCTGGGTACTTCTGTTTTTCAGCTCAGTCTGGTGCTATACGACATCCCGGAGACTTCTGATTCTGCCTTTTTTGAACAAAAATTTCCTCAAATAATCTCACAACCAGTTTCGAGCACGACCGTGGAGGCATACTTAATTTCTGTTACCACAAAGAAGAAGTGGTTGTTACCTCTCCAAACCATAGTCCAATTTAGTTGGAATGATGCCACGAATGTAGCACACACATGGGTTACTTCTGTAGTGGTCACGAGCTTTTATCTCATTTCTCAACTCATAGCCCTCTCTATGACCTCAAACTTGTGTTCCTTTCTAAAGACCTGTTTTCTGTTATTTTTCCTCACGGGGGGGGGGTCGAATTCGTACCATTTTTGCGAGGCCTAACTTATAACTTTCAGAGTCAATGCCGCATCCGATCTCTCCGTATCATGACAGAAAACAGTGAGTTTTTGCAAATTTTTCTCCCGTTCTTTCTTTCCTGAAGTTTTTCTGCTTTTTACAGTTTTCTTTGCGCCTTTTCATTTACTATTAGTCCTTGTCTTCATTGAATACGTATAGTATTAGTGCAAATGGTCTTTAACATAAAATACCGTAGAGAATTTGAATACTCTTAAAGTCTCTTCTCAGGAAGGATTCGAAAGGGAAAGAAACGACGATTTTTACGTGCTTTGAAGTTTCTGCAAAATCTGGCCTTTCTGTTGTATATTGTACCAACTAAACATCACTATTAATACAAGATAAAGAAACGAAAATCGGCCAGAAAACCTCCAAAGTCGCGGGGTCGCGATTTGATTTTGAAATTCGTCTCTTCTCGAGCGAGGTGGAAAGACCTCTATCACTTACAGATGTGGTCAAAAGTGTCCGCCGAGATAATTTTTTGTGAATTATTTTTTTTTACCTGAGCAACGCCCTCCAAAGATTGATATACCAGTTTTTCTAGTGTTGAACATCCTTGAGTCTTCGAAGAGTCAGGATACTCAAAAAAATGTTTTGAGATCTATATTGACTTTTTCTGGCAAAAAAAGAGGAGCACAGAAACCGCTTCGGCAAACACTTTTGACCGCTACTGTAGGTGGTGATACTCTCGCAGCTTGAAAATGAGTGACAAGAAGGTAATGCTTCAGCTTCGCCGCTGCGTCCCGCTTCCATTCTTATCAATCGCAGCATACGTAGCGTCTTGCAGCCTCTCGCGTGCAACGCGCTCTTGCGTTTCCGCTCTCATCACAGCGCTAAGCCCTTCCGTCATACCACGACCGACCCTTAAAAGAAAACTTCAGTGTTATCTATCGTGCATTTTGCTCTTTCATTTTCCTCATTGCGATTAGACCTTAACTTCTGAATAAATTACGCAAAGAAGTCGACCCAGGGGGGCCGCGTGCCTTCAATTTCCTTCTCTGGAAATATGCGTAAATTTTTCTTATCGACATAAGCGCATCCCATTGCTTTGCCCATTTCTGCTCCGTAATCGTCTGTTTCGAAGTCTCATATTTCCGGTAAGTTTTAACAAAGAGTCCTTATTAATCTGGAACTGAGCAAACAAGGAGTCAGTGTATATACGATCGGAAGGAAAATGCTGACCTTGTTGTGAGCGTCATGATTTCGTGTCGCCAAAATCTCAAAACCCTCTTTTCTACATAATTTCTTTCCCCTTTTTTCATATGTGGAAGAAAGTAGTCAGAGTGGAATCAAAACATTGAAAAAAAGAAAGGGAAAACGTAGTTCGACTTCCTTCAGCACCTGCCCTTCGACAAAAGCGATTATAGGGCCCATGGTGTCGATGGTTCTGGACGGCAGAGTGGGCCACTTGCAGGGTCGTCCAATAATCGGAATTTTTATTCACAGGTTATTGTCGCATTAGGAAAGGAAAAGAGGGTAAGGTGTTGCATTGTCGACTGGTTCGTACCCCGCCACGTGATAGCTGAGAGGCTCCTCTTTCTTGCCTTGCGCGGCGTTTAGTCCAGAGCACTCAACTCGTACATATTAGCTAAGTTAAGGGATTCCAAACCTCCGCTCATAACGTAACCTTCTTTGACGTCGAACTAACTTCCGAAAATGCACATGCTTTCGAAGGCATTGTATGATCTCAGCCCTCCTCAAAGGCCGGAGCTGCTCAGAAGAAAAGATCCACATTTTACGCTCAGCGCGCGTGCCTTTGTAACATGCAAAAAACGTTTCGAAAAAGCGCTACACGTTGTGAAACATTTATGGTTAGCTGAAATAACGCCAAGATGAAGTGTTCGATCAAGTTCAAGCCAATGTGAAGTGTACATTTCATCGCACATGGAAAACTGTAATCCTGCATACGGAACTGAACCACATTAGTCTATCCATTTATGGCACTTACAAGGAAGGTCTTTGTGCCAAGCTTTTTCAAAACGGTCTTTTGCATGATATAGAGGCACATGCGGGAACCACAGAACCATGGTTAATTTTTCCTGAACGGCCCTCTGAATACCAGAAAAGGGGGTCCCTAGTCACACCTTTTTCACCAGTTTTTCAATCAAAGTCTATTTGTAAGGGTTACTGACGTTCCTAATCATGAATTTGGTACTAATTATTCATGCTAACTCCATTTTGCGCGAATTTGGAAACGTCAACTCGAAATGCAAAAATTTGTCACCACGAGGAATCGAACTAGGGACCCCTTTTCTGGTATTCAGAGAGCCGTTCAGGAAAAATGAACCATGCTTCTGTGGTCCCCATATGTGCCCCAATGTCATGCAAGAAACCATTTTGAAAAAGCTTGGCACACCCTGAACGACCTCCCTTGTTAGTTCGGTCCATTTACACCAGCCAACTTGCACTATATTTAGTCTCACTAGTTAAGGATCGGGAGATGTTTTGCAATGAAGGTGATCACATAAGCTAATTAAGAAGGGAAAACGGACGGGATCGCAGCTGTCTCGTATCAAGTAGAAAAGGGCTATTGCATGCTTCTTATTTGGTTCCCTTACACTCTAGTCTTTGTTTTCCGATTCATGAGAAAATACAGAATGAGTTGTTGTCGTTTCCAACGAGTCACGTACGCGCATCGGTTCCGGACAGGGAAAAAAGAATAGCAGCTGTTCCTACTCAAAGCAGAAGCAGTAGCTGTGCATGCTCTCGATTTTGTTTTTATTGGATGCTGCTGTTTATCATAGCAGCTCATTGCGCTTCAACATCATATGACAAACAATGACGTTGAGCGGAACAGTCTGATATGCTAAAGCTTCCGCTATGGATTGGCCATGATTTCACCGCAACCTTTCTTTTGTGTCAGATTCTACAGATTCAATGATTTAACTTAGTCACACAGCCTTATGCCATTTTAAAAATCATTGGATTCTGCGAATGAGGAATACAATTCATTAGTATTCTTCAGTCAAGACTCTTCTGAATGAGGAAGAAAAAACGACAAACTCAGATCATAGAGAGGAACGACCAAGTGTGTTTTATTTACCCTGCTGCCAGGAGTGTAGTGGTCATATTTGGGAACTATTTGAGGGCGATAATCGTATACTTTAGAGAAAGTGAGAACAATGATATGTGGAAATACAAAGCTGCTGGTGCAATTTAGGTATTAGCAAAAGCATGCGTTTTAGAGGTCGGTATCTTTCTCTCCCCCATACCCTCCTTCGTGCCCTCGTGAGGGTTCGGCAGGCTTGCGACCTGTTTCATAACACCACTTCATAATAGTATTTATGACACCGATTGTAGTCAAGGTAGGAAAGGGGATCGTGTTCATGGCGGTGAGGGGTAAGGGAGTCTACCGGAGAAAGTTTTCCAACACATCGCTTGGCCTACATAAGATTTTAGACAAGGTATAACAAACCTCTGATCTGGTCTCCTAGACCAAAGTGCGTCGTTCCACGTTCCAGCATGTCCTATTTTATGAGGTCTGAAAAAGCCAAGAAGCCTCAGTTTATTAGCAGTTAAATCATGTGCAGTCAGGCGCCATCGCAAGATAGGGGGCACTTTAGTGGCAACGTACTAAGAAGCCCCCTGAAACATCCTCTTTGTTTGAAACGAGGCTAAGCCTCAGGCAGGAGAGACTCCAGGATGCGTTAGAAACTTCCATCCTCCCCAGAGTTCCTGTCCCCTCATAGCTTAGCACTAGAGCATGCCCCTGTATCTTGCGATTGCCCCTGTCATTGTTTACTGTATATTGGTAGTATAATGACTGGAAAATGCTCGACGAAATTAACGAGCTCGTATTTACAGAAGCTATGATGTTGGACATTTTGCTACACATTTGGAGCACCTTTGTCAGCTCAACATCGCCGACAAACCCGGCAAGCACCGCAAAACGGCCATCATTTGTACTGTAGGTAGGACATTATTTTATCAAATATTCATGGCATTCCAAGTAAAAGTGATCTGGTAGAGAACGAGAAAGGAGTTATAACTTCTCACATGGGGCTCAATCAGCTTGGGCCCTTTTTTGGGCATCGTGTGCCTTCAACTTCACTTGCTTTCAGGACCAGCTTGTAATAATGTTGAAATGTTGCGCGAAATGATTGATCAAGGCATGAACATTGCTAGATTGAACTTCAGTCATGGATCTCACGAGGTAATTTCTCTTGAGAATTTCTTTCTTCTAAATTCCTTGAAAACCTTTTCCTAAATCTTGAGTTGGTAATAAAGCCTTTATCGAGGTGTATGCTTTAATCATGCTTCTTTCCTATCACTAAACATTTTTACCTTTCCGTATAGTTTATATTTGAAAGGAGCACGCCAAGACCATTGCAATGATCCGTGAAGCTGCGAAAGATCACATAGATCCCGTTGCGATTGCTCTCGACACAAAAGGTCCGGAAATCCGAACGGGCATGCTACATGGGGTTAGTTCAGCGCTTTTTATCCCTGCGAACGGTGTGATTCGCTTCCTTTAGGGCAAAGAGGTGATTCTGAACCAAGGTGACACCATTTATCTATCGACAGATCCGAGGCTGAAGGATAGCAGTACCGCCACAACACTTTATGTTGACTACCAGAATCTACCTAAAGTTGTTCAAGTGGTAAGCTTTTATTTCTTTCCAACGGTTATGAATATTTTGATGGGCTCATTTCGTGCATAGACTCACTGAAGATTTATTTTGTTTGGCGCGTACTTTGGTCAGACTTTCTTCAGATTTCCTTATAGAAGGCCACAGGAAAGCCACTAGAATTCAACAAAGCTGGCCTTGACGATGTTTTCGTCAAATTATAAACTTGATCATTCTTGGTGGAAGAGTGTGGGACGGGTAGTTCATTACACTGGTCTGATCTCGCAAAACCAAACCGAAGCACTTGTCCTACGCCCCTACCACGGTCGGCTACCGTTGCAGAGCACCTTCTCACTAAGGTCAGATCAGTGTAGATTGGAGGGTGTGCAGGTGTTCCCCTTTAGCAATATGTGAGCAAAAACGACACGAAAACACTGTGATTTCAAAAAGGGTGTCATTATGCGAACGAAGGGGCGAGGTATAATGGCATTTAGCGTTCGTTTACACGCGCACAAGCTGAGAATCACATCACTGACCGGTCAACCAAGTCTTGAATTACGTGAAAATTCATACTGTTGCGGTCAAAGATGTCCGTCGAAACGTCATTTCGTGCATTATTTCCTCCTAGTTGGAGAAACCTCTGCAATTACCGCTGAATTTCGAGGAGTAGCGACCTTAAGAAAAAACCGTCTCTAGTCAATTTTGGTTGGTGATTTGATTCAAAATTATTGTCTGCTAACACCTTCCGCCTTGCGGTTCACTGTCGGCTGACCGGCTTATCACGCTGTACGTGTGAGTGCTAATAAGCTGTAGTAGATATACCATCGGAAAGTTGGGCTAAAGTGAAGCGATGTCTCGGTGTAATCGATAGCAAAAGCGCTCAGAAAGTAAGAGGCGCGGTTTCGATCCCCACATGGGACGAAGAATTTCGTTCAGAATACAACAATCCTGTGAAATCTCCAGTATTCCTAATTTTTTAAAGAGAAAAGAAGAAATGAGCGAGTAAGCTTTCGGCGAACAAATATGAGCGCTAGCGTAGCTATTGGCGTATTTGCCCTGCATAGAATATACCAGGGAGTCCTACCGTGAGACCAACTGCAACTAAGATTCCTAGTAGAAGCCCAATGCTTGCCGCATACCGGAGAAAGTGACCAGAACTAATTATTTTATCACACTCATGCTTTATGTTCATCTAGACAATCACCTTTTCAGGGTGGCCGCATTTTCATCGACGACGGCTTGATATCCCTCGCTATCAAAGAAGTCGGCACGGATTCAGTGATGTGTGAGATTGAAAACGGCGGAGTGCTAGGAAATCGGAAGGTTTGTTGTTCTGTCCGCCTTCACCAAGCAATGACCTTCTCCATTTACACTGGTGTGCAAAACTTAAGGACGAGACAGATGAAGTATCATAACCTTTTGATAGCTTTGTGGACCGTTTACGGTTCCTGTTAACTGCTTTCTTTAGTGCCCTGTAGCAGCTCTTTGAAGCTCTTACATGAGAAGAACAAGACTTTCTTGAAGGCAGCTGTTACTATCAACTGAGTGTAGAAGAAGGGATCTGTGAAGGAAAATAGGGATCGAGACCCAGCACTGTAAGGGCTAAGAGTGCGCCCTAGCCACCTAGCGGGGGCGTATCTGTGGCCAACGCCGCTTTGGTGGAGAGCCCCGCACGCAGGTGGCTCAACTTCAAAAGCGAGAAGAACGCTGATTTTCGTCATCGCTTGTTCTCATCTTGGAGAGGCACTTTAATCCGAACGACTCTAGCTTTTAGTTTGTCCAAGTATGCGTTATCAATCAAAGCATGACCTTTGTTGGTATGACGCCAAGACTAACACATGCATACGAGCTCCTCTGTCTGTTGCTCGTTCGTCCAAGGCGGAACCAACAAGCACGATAGGAGCTAAATTCCGCGGGTTTTATGCCGTTTCCATGGATTTTTTCTTTCTTCATTACCGTCCCACTCACAACTCTGGCTTCATTTCTAACGGCGACCGGCTTATCGTACCATCTGCCTTCAGATATTCCTCGTAAACTCGTAACAGGTAACCCGTCGTGGGTTCTTCTGATGCTTGCCCGGCGAGATGCTACTTAGGCTCATTTTGTAATATGGCGTAGTATGACAAAATGCACGCGTTACAAGGCTGTTTGATCATTGCTAACAATAAGCTTTTTTCCTCACTTAACAAGGCCCTTATTTTTAGGGAGTGAACCTTCCCGGAACCACTGTTGATCTTCCTGCTGTAACCGAAAAGGACAAAGCAGACTTGCTGTTCGGCGTTGAACAAAACGTCGATATAATTTTTGCCTCGTTTATTCGAAACGCTGAAGGAGTCCGTGAAATTCGACGAGTTCTTGGTGAAGCGTAAGTTTATCAATATCTGACTCAAGACTTTTTGAAATATCTTATATTCAAATGTCGCTCTTCATTCATCCACCTTATTGATTCTCAATATTGGAAATTTTGCCTAAAATACACTGGTGTGCAAAACTTGAAGACTAAAATTCAGCGGGTAAAGATAACTAGTATTATAAGCAAAAATGAATGTTCCGAAAGAGGGGTTGATGAACGCCGATCGAGATAAGATCATGGTAGCACGGGGAGATCTCGGAATCGAAATTCCTCCAGAAAAGGTAAGACTAGTACGAGCAACAAAGCCTGGCGCGCACTGAGGTTAACATCGCTACCTCTAGGGGACCATGAATTTGATAAAGCATTATGTGCCTGCGCACTGACAAACAACAGGAGGGGCTTTCATGAGCGAGATTGGGAAAGGGGTCAGAAAATTTCGGAAAAGTCCGAACTTCGGGGAAGCGTCACTAGGTTCATTCCCCGATTTCGTAAGGGTGATCGGGTGTCCGCTTAGCCTTCACTATAAGAGCTTATAAGGGCTAATTAGCGACTGGCCAATCTCTTATAGTGAAGGCATTCTATTCATTTATTTCCTTCGACTCCACCCAAACACGACCTCGTATTAGCTCCAACTGCATAAGCGCGATGTCTCAGCTCCAGCCACGTTTTTCACGCGGCCCTTCAGAACGCCTGATACCTCTCATTTCTTTACCGAGAGTTAAAGTTACCCCTTCGTTGTTGCGTTTTATTGAAGCATATTGGGGACTATTTTCGCGCGCTGGAAGTGAGTGATCAAGGGATCTGAAGTCGACATTTCAGGTATTCTTAGCGCAGAAGATGCTGGTGGCCAAGTGCAATATGGCAGGAAAAGCTGTAATATGTGCTACGCAAATGTTGGAGAGCATGATAAAACAAGCTCGACCGACAAGAGCAGAGTGTGAGTTGAATGAACAGTTCAGAAATCCAAAACTCGTACATTTTCTTTAGCTTTTAGCCTTTTTTTCTTATAATGCGGAACATCGATGATGAGATCGTGACGTTGGTAGAATAATGGAAATTTTGGATAACACCTTGGTGCAATTTGGGGCAGTCACAAGTATTGTCACCGTAAAAAAGATATAGCACAGATTAGGTGGTCAGGGAATCGAATCCTAAATCTAATTTTGCTCAGACCAGCTGAGCCCTTCATCCATCCAGGTCGCTTAAATGGTGTTATATGGGTTGAGAAGGTCAAAATAAGAAGCCTCTTCAATTTGTTTCCAAGCCTGGAATTTTCTACATCGCCTGACAAGTAACTGTACAGGGCTGAATGGCATCGAAAAGCCACTACGTTTGAAATAGAAAATTAGTGCATGGCGCACCTGAAGAATTGATCGATCATTGTAGATTTCTCCTGTTCACTCCACCTACCCATTATTGTCTTGTAGGCTCTAGGGTTTTCAATAGGGTCCTTATGAAATATAAGATGATGCTGAGCGACAATCAGGTCGTTATAACTCGCTGTACCCTAATTTCAATTGGGTCCACGAGAGAATTTAGACGGTTACTTTTGTCAGCGAGTAATAGTTGTTGTACCAGGTGATTGTTACAGTTATATCATTGCTCTCCTCAAGTAAAAGTTTGCATTCATTTTTCCGACCCCGCATACAAGAAAGCTCGTAGCGTGGACGAAATTCCAGCCCGTGATTGTGTGTTAACGTCGGGGGCCCCTCTTGTTCCTTGTCTACCTCCCTTGTCCTCTGAAACTTATTTACTTCTTCATGTGTTTTCTTCCATGAGTACTCTTCTAGATACTGACCCTAGAAACTAGAAACTAGAATCAGGTTGAAGAAAGGATCCAGATAGCAGGCGATTTAAGTTTTGATGTGAGCTGGTAACTCTTCGTGAGTACAAAGGTTTTTTCTATCCAAATTTTTCGGTGATTTTATGCATGAGTTGCATAGGCCAAACAACGATATTCTCGCGAAAAAATTATCTTTAAAGGTAGCGATGTTGCCAACGCAGTTTTGGACGGAGTAGATTGTGTGATGTTGTCCTGGAGAGACCGCGAAAGGTCTTTATCCGTTGGAGACTCTCAAAATGATGCATTCGGTCAGTTTGAGTTTGGATCTTCTAATATGTTATTTCTTCCCCTTTGGTCCCTAAAATAGATTGGCTGGCTACTTGCAAAATGGGATGAATGACGCACAGCGAATTCTAAACCTTCCCCTTCCTCTCGTTCATGTGTGCATGTGCATGTTCTAATGTGCATTCTCATTACCTACTTCGACGGCCTTGTAGACTCTTGGAGGTAAATTCGATGTGTGTAAGTATTAGCAGGTTCATCGACGACATCACCATCCTTTGTCTGTTGGAGAGGCGCTTCCCTTGAGGAACTCCTGCAGCGCTGGAATTCGGGGGAGGGGTCATCTCATGTTTGCTTGCACGCATTCGGTCAGTTTGATTCGGCAAATGATATGATGGTGGCTGTCGGGTTAGTACGTGCTAACGGAAGTCATTATCGGAGGTCAACGGGCAAAGAAAGGGGTCCCATTTTGCGCCTTTTGACGGATTTCTTTGCTTTTTTCGCCACTGGGCATTATTCAGCATCTCCACTTCCACTATGAACCCAACCCAATATTATCGTTGCCTTGCTTCAAGTGAATAGTAAATGATTTATTCGTAATGTGATATATACCAGAAGCCTACAACCGCACTCTTCATGGACTGACTTGTATTACAGATCTGCAAAGAAGCCGAGACTGCCTTTTACTATACGAAATATTATGAAGAAATCATGTTCCACACAGTGAAGCCTACCGATCGCACCCATACCACAGCTCGCGAGCTTTCCCATAGCTTTGGAATGAGCAACTTTCCAAAACATTCACTGTGACTACAGTATCCTACATTGCTGAGAAGAAAAATGGTCGTGATCTCCACGACAAGCTCGAAATGTGGGAAGGAGGCACCATGAATAGGGGTCAATTTCCTAAATTCTGGTCACAGGTAGGATTCTTAGTGAGTCTGCTAAAACTTAAAGCATTTCACAAGAATGCTGGGTTGTGAACAAAACTTTCGCCCCAGGCGGGACTAGAACCCGCACCTCTCGCTTTCCGGGCAAGTGCGCTACCAGTTACGCTACCGGGGCACCATTTCATTCCAACTCAGCTTTTCATGGTATACGTACCATAGCTTTCAGCACTCACACGTATAACGTGTTGAGCCGGTTAGCCGATATCGGCAATGACCGCAAGGCTGAAAGCTTTAGCAGTGAATTTTTGACTAAACCATTTCATTCCAACTAAGCTTTTCATGGTAAGTATACCATGAAAAGCTGAGTTGGAATGAAATGGTGCCCTGGTAGCGCACTTGCCCGGAAAGCGAGAGGTGCGGGTTCTAGTCCCGCCTGGGGCGAAAGTTTTGTTCACAACCCAGCATTCTTGTGAAACATTGCGACTGAAAATAGCAATTAACAAACTTAAACTTAAAGCATTTTTTCGGAAACTGCTCTGCTCGTTGTCGACAAGAATTTTTAAAATAACAAAAGAGTTGCTGCGCTATGAATAGCACGAAAAGCTAAAGCGAACTGAATGCAAAATAGCAACGCTTCCCGGTTGCACCCACGTTCGCGTGTATGTGCCATTTTAAAAGCACTTGCGGTCGAGTCGCGCTTACACTTCCATTGCTCTCCATTGCTCTTTCCAATGCGCGAAAACTCCCTACTGGTACATCAATTGGGCTGATTCGCTTTGTAAGTCAAAGCTCCTTTGAACTCCACCATAATGCTTACGTCGGAAGCATGGCGCAATTCCAACGAGGACGTACATTTGTTCGAAGCAACAACCCCATATGAGCTCATGTCCAAGAACTATTCTGCGGGTGGGATAGAATAGCCCACGAGTATCACAGATGTGCCGTTGTCGCGGCTCGAAAGTGCGCGACAATGGCGCTAGGGCCTTACAAAGTGATCTTATGGCGACTAATGTAGTTATGGACGAGATAACACATCGTTCACTTCCTACGATACGCAGCATGAATTACGGCGTAGCGGCTAATTCAAATAAATACACGGGGGTCAGTGAAGTGGAGCAAGAAAGTTCTGAAAACTCGTCCGGTGTCCTTTTTCTCATTCAGATAAGGAAGAGAGGGAATGCTCCTTATTGGCTTCATTAGCGGTTTGCTTTGGTTTTTTTCCTTTTGAATCGATTCGGCATCCATAATTTCTTTGCCACCGCTATTACCCCATCAATTTGATCCAGAGTTGTTGCTTCAATCCGCCGTCCCTTAGTCGCTTATGGGCAGTGGAAAGGTCTATAGGGTAGCGCCTCAAAAAAGACAGTCTTCTCTCTAAGCATTACCTTACAACTCGTCTCTGATGCGGGGCTGTGCTCTTCTAACAGCATAAGTATATGCTTAAAAAACTGCCCACTATGCCCAGTAACCTGAAGTTTGCTACCGATTCCAGTACTGCTATTCTGTGTTCTCGCTATCGACCGCCGGTGCCAGTGATCTCAATTACACGAGACGAAAAGATTGCTCGTCGTCTACATCTCTACAGAAGCGTATTTCCTTTGCACTGGAATAGTAAGTACTAGGCTTTTGCTGTATGTATTGAAGTTTCACTGCAATTGTCCGAAACCTAGCAAATGGTACTATTCAGAGCCACGCCGCCCCGACTGGCAAGCTGATATCGAGGAGCGCATCAACTACGGTATTGAGGCTGGCAAGAAACGAGGCGTAATCTGGACTGGCGACCCACTGGTCGTAGTCACTGGCTGGCATCAAGGTTAGCGACGATTGGAGACAAACACACTTCTTGAATCAGCCATTGATTCGGGAAGAATTTTCGAAATTGGGACACCTCCTACCTTTAAGGGAATACCTTACCGATCTTCACCCCCCCCCCTTCTGATGGCTGATGGTGTAGATGGTTTGTTGAAACTGCATCACTTGACACGCTTGAATTCGCTGCTACTTCGCACACTCGACTCTGCCTTCAAAACGATCCAGCAGCAGTCATTTCTACTAATTTTCATCCATTCTACCCATTTTCGCAACCATAGAATAAGCCCTCCCTTTCTCCCATCACCCCCCCCCTATGAATCAAAAACTTCACATACGACCAGTTGTTTGCAAGTTACCAATATACGCTTGACCGTTGTCAAGGAGGTTTGTTTTGGTTGAAGGTCCACTATTCCATATATTCACATTTGCCTGTTTCATTAATACTCGTAGGGCAAGCCTTTTTATCATGGAATAATTCTGTGGAGTGACCGATCAACATGTTCTGATTAATGATTAGAGCTGATATAAGCTGCGTAGGGTTGATCATGCTCGTTCATCGAGGAATCACGGGGAGTGGGAGTCATGCTTGATTTTTCTGAAGTGGTGTGGTAGGGGAAGAAGCTAGAATAAAGAGAGCATCTCATGATAAAGGATAAAAGGATAAAGCTTGCCGTTGATCAATCCCGTCTTGGGATGCGGCACGCATTCTACTTCCAT